CAAGTTGTTAAATCAGGATTGAAAGGCTGTTTATTATTTTTTCTCTGTAGTAAACTGACTTGCAGTGCTCTCCACTGATGATAAAATCCTGGCTGTGCTGAACTCTGTGGGGAAACTTCCTTGTGTAATCAGCAGTGGAGGTAGTAGTCGCACTCTGGGTCGTCTGCCTTGGAGCCTGCTCCCTGGCTGCTGGGACAGAAAACAGTTATCATGGCTTGCTCTAAGCACGCTGCTGCTTGGCGCCACCCCCTGCAAGAGCATCTCACTTTCAGTGACAGGAGAGGAAGCCTGCAGAGATGAGTCTTCTTAATTTACCCAACAGCCTAATGTAGGCTGAATACTTAATAGCTGGGGGAAATGCCCCATCACCCCTTTTCTTCCTGTACACGTGGTTATTTAATATGCAAATTGGAGATAGGAATTAAATGAGCCTTTAAACCATAAGAAGTTGTGCGTGGTGCGTTTATGGCGGATTCATGTGCAATTACCACATGATGGTTCCTGTACATTTGTCACATTTCATTTGCTTTCCCCCTATGTGTGTGCATGCCTCCTGGAAGGCTGGTCTCTTAAATATACTTTTAATCTTATCAAGGGAAAATACTGACTTAATTATGAAAGAGCAAGCGAGTCGTAGAAGAGTTTTCCACTTCTTTGTGCTGTATGAATAAGGAGTCTTTGAACTGCCGTTAAGTATTACTCAAGCAAACAGAAAAGATAGCCAAGGAAGCATGAAGGTTTCAAGGCGCAAATTTAGAAACCTGCTCTTAATACAATTTTTTCTAACTTGTTCATTGTGAAAATAAATTGGGCTGTGTGCGGGGCTGGGCTGAACAGGCTTGGACCTGATGCAGGGCCACTGGGAGGAATCCCAGTTAGAGGGATTCCCTAGGACTCTGGAGAGTTCTCTCACGAGTTTTGCTTTGGCTATGGGAAGCAGTCCCCTTTATCAGGAGTCATATCTTCACTGTCAGAATCAGGGAACTTACGGGTGTGCTGCAGCCCTCTGGTCTGCCACCCACGCTTCCTACCCTAAGGATCTGCCTGGACCTCACCCCAGGCTGAAGTCAGGATGCTGGGGGCAGCCCTTGGGAAAAAGAGGCACTTGCTCCTTCAGATCAAGCAAACTTATTCCTCTGTTCCTCCCACACCAGTGGGCTACATGGTGGAGATAAGGCAGCACTGGGCCACTAGAATATCAGGTGGGCATGGCACATCTCTAAATTTTTGGCCACATCATACATACCATTAGGACCAATTTGTGACACATTCCTTTTTTGGGAGTAACTGTATAGCAAGATGTGGATTGCACGTCACAACCTTGAACCAGTTTTCTCTCCACCAGCTCTCACTCTAGATGTTCTCAAAAAGGATGTTCTTAATTTGTGAGTTTAGGTGGTCCAGAAACTTTGTAATGGTGTTTAAGCATATACCTGTATTTTCTAATAAGCAATTTAACCTGGTGGTGTACTAACAGAGTGTGTACTTTTCTGAATCTGTTCTCATACCTGACTGGTGGAACATTTAAGAAGGCATTGGAATTACAGTGGTAGTAAGGTCTACCTTAGAGTTTAGTTATTACAGAGTATATAGTTGTCTGTTTCCTGCTCAGACTTCTAAGGCACACATATTGTGGCAAACACTTTTAAGTAACAAATGCAATAAAGTAACATTTTTCCCCACATATATATATAGATATATATATCTCTTACAAAATAGAGGCAGTTTTAGCCATTGATAAAACATCAAGGTACCAGAAGTAGCATTATTTTTTGAGTTTACTTTCAAAAAACTCTTTGAGACAAGCTCTGTTATTTACTGGGGTTTTATATGGGATTTGTAACAAAATATTTCAGTAGTGTCTGACCATTTTTAGCTCTTACATGGAAATCAGAAGCTCACCTCAATTGTGAAAGACAAAAAGCAAGAGTATGTGTGACCTGACAAATGAGCCCAGCTCTCCTGAGGTAGCCTGGTTGGCAGAATTCTTCCCATCTTCCTTTTCTAATGCACCGGGGCCATGACAAACTTAGTGTTACTAAACTGTAAAATTAATGTTAAATATTAATTACATGATTATCTATAACCTTATAAGATCATATATTATATTTACATCAACCTATGTCAGACTGTGCTATTAAGGAGTCAAGGAATCATCCTTATTCTTGGAGGTGTTTGGTTAAGGAATGGGGTCTAAAAGGACCAAAGCCTGGCAGTTCCAAACCTCTGCTCTTAGTGGGTTGCTGTGGAAGCAGACACTGAGATGAATGTGGCAGGTGTTCCGCAAAGATCCCAAAACTTCTATGTGGTGAAGTGGAAACACATCAGTGATCACAACCAGACAGCTAGCAACATGAGGTTGGGGGCAGGGTCCATCCGCTTCTTTTAGCAAAGAAGCACTGCCAGATCTAGGCTGGCTTCATAGTCCTCTGCGTTTACTGCCAGTGAGGCGTGAATTTATTTGTTTTATTTGGAAAGCAGTGTAGAAGTAGAGTATTTTTAAAGGACATAATATAGCTCAAAGCCAAAAATGTTCTTCTATGTGCCAAAATATGATCAACATTTTTTGGTCGAAATTTTACTGCCTACATTATTGGTGAAATGGGAGTATACTGACACAGTTAATCCTTATTTTTTTATTTGAAAGCCACTTGATTTTTTTTTTTTATGTTGCATTATAAATTGCTTTTAAAGGGTTTATTCTTCATAATTGTTTTTTTAATTAAATCTGTTCAGTCAAAATGCTGAGGGGCTCAATTAAGTAGATTGAACACAGAGGCTACCATAAGTGATTCAGATGGTTACTCTAGAACACATGCTGGACATTGGAGATATACTTAACTTGTTTAAGCAGCTGACTTAGTTAAAACTAAAACTGGTGAGTTTTGTGCTTTGTTTTTTCATGACTAGTATAACAATTAGGATTGAAACATTTGAAAAGAAGAATGGAAGATTTCCAGTTCCTTGCAAAGTTCAGTTGGCTGGACCTGACAACACCACCAGGAAAAAAATAGGTGCTCTTGATGATATGTAAACTTGCAGATGAATTGTGCTCGCCGTCTCACTTGTTATCCTCCCCAGGCATTTAAAATACCTTGAAAGGCTGCTCTACCTTCTGGAAAACTGAGAAAACATTCTGTTGAGAGTTAATTTGGCTCATTTCATATTTCCTGTTCAGCATTTGTCTTCCATTGTGGGTTTGGGTTTTTTTTTATCACTAGGGATATTTGCATGACAATGGGATCTTTCTTGCTTAAGAGATCATCTGCTCCTGCTGCTAATTTCCTACCTGAAATTGTAATCTTCTGTTTGTGACATCTTAACTCAAACACAATTAATTGTGATGTCACAAATGGAGGATTATGCCTTTGGGTTGGAAATGAGATTGAGAAATTGAAGGAGTTTGAAGAAGCAAAGAGGCCTTTCTTCTTGAAAAATAAGAGGAGACAAAATAATTTTGGTTAAATGGAGTCAGCCGTCCATTAGCTTCCTTCTAACAGTTGTGGAACAGACATTTCTAATTCTTGCTGTCATGAGGGGCCCTGTTGTATTGAGACACTGTGGAGGGGAGAAGGGGGCAAGGATTTCATTGTGAAGGAAGGGGAATCTTCCCCTGAACAGCCACCCCATGCAGCAAGAAGGAAGCAGAAGTCAGTGCGCCCCAGAGAGGTCTGGGCTCTGCTTGCAGAGAGCAGAATCCAGGGTTGGTATGGCTGCAGTTGGTTTAGATGCCAATCAATTTATTGAACTTCATATCTTGCAATATTCATTTGAGTTGGAAGAACAAATTTCTACAACAGCATTTTTTGAGGGGTGGGGGGAATTCCAAAGACTTAGGATAAATTGCATTCAGCATCCTGAAAACTTGCAAAATAAAAGGTTTGTGCTACCCTAGTCCACCATGGCTTCAGTTTATTGTATGGACTTGTCATATTTCACTGCTTGGTATGTCACCTTATCCTTTTGTATCCTTCTGTTTTTCTGCTGGAAACACATCGTTTCCACAGAGATTCTGAGTGGCTGAGTGGCCTGCTGATATTTTTTTGAGGACATTACTAAGGCTGTTTATATACTTAGGCCATGATTTACAAAGTGAGAATACTCATCTACAGCTACTATCACTTCACACCAGAGTGTTTACACAGTTTGTGCATAAACACTGGGACCAAGTCATGACTAAAATAAGAAAAAACCCAAAGTTAATGAAAAGCGAAGTGCCTTATTTTAATGCTTTTACTGACATTAGGGAAAGGTCAATGACTACAAAGTAGAGGGATGAAAGTGGAGAATGAAATGAAGATTAGCCCTATGGATTTTGGAAAGTACAGTGTCCTTCAGAAAAGTGTGCACCCATCCTCAGGTGTAAATGGAAGTGACCCTCAGCAGAAATACGCCAATCTGCACTTGCTGGGACCCAGGTTCACTTGTATCTGTGTATCAAATCCATTTTAACTGTTGGATGTGTACTAGCTACTGCGCCATAGCAAAACAGGCCATTTCCTGTTGTCTTTTGGAAAACATATTGTAAAAACAGACATTTGATGTCTGTGATGTGATGTCTGACATTTGATGAGGTGCTGAGAGATATGGTTTAGTGGCGGACAGATATGGTTGGACTGGATGATCTCTAAGGTCTTTTCCAACCTAGTGATTCTATGATTCTATGACTGATCATCTGATTAACACAAAAAATGGTAGAGAAAATCAGCTGTTTAGATTTGGTACTCAAACACATTGCTGTAAGTCTGCAAAAGCTCTGCAGATGACAACAGACCCGCTGTGATACTCTGACAGCAGAACCTGGACCCTCCACTTTGTGATGTGAAGCTCATTTGTGGCCCGAAGTCTACCTTTAAGGCAAGTTGGTCTGAAATTAAATTAGGATGCCTTCAGGGAGGCATAATAATACAAAGTAGACAAAGAATGGGGAAAAAAAGCTGTACACTGAGCAATGGTTATATCTTCCAACACTTCTTTTTTTTCTTTTTTCTTTTTCAAAGGCAAAAGCAGTTATGGCAAAAGTGGGTTACCCTCAGTTTATAATGAATGACACATATATTAACGAAGACATCAAAACAGTAAGTGTCAGACTTGCAGCTTTCTTCTTTTACATATTGCAGCCATTCTTTGCTCTGTTTCACTGCTGTCTAAAATCAAAGCTCTTTTTGTTTGGCACACATCTGGAGTTCTGCTTGCCTGGTTATTTTTAGACATTGAATTAAGTATGTTAGCTCTCGTGTCTATATTGTCAACATCAGTGTGCCTAAGTGAGATGACCACGAGGCCTGCTGGGAGGAAAATATGTCTGGGTACAAAGAACCTTCCTGCTATTAAGCATTTTAAAGGTTAAACGTATGCTGGCATAAATTTTGCATTTAGTTCTAAAAATGAAACAAAACAACCCCCCCATTGCTCCTCAAAGTAATGATCTTCAAAAATACTAATGCATTTATCCTCAGAATATCATAACTTATGGTGCCTTATATAGGCTCTCCCCACCTCTCCAGGCTGTGAATTTATTTATGCTTGTTGCTTATAATTGTGCCTAGACGTCCTATCAAATGTACATACCTGCCATGTCGTCTGCTGCACAAAGATGCTGGAGAGGGGACTCTTTCCTGACCCAGTGTCTGTTCAGCCTAAGGCAGGAAAGCAGATGATGAAGATGATATATTTTACCATATTCCAAAGGTGTAGCTGTGGCATGCATGTGATGAATTGTATTACTGAAACTTACAGGCAAAGTAGAATCAAAAATTCAGTCTTGAACTGCTAAAATAAAAGAGTGATAGTGATCTTTGCCAGAGAATGTGAAAGAATACTAAGAAGAGGCATAATTTATTGAGAAACTGTGAAGAACCAACCCTACAAGGCTGGTCCTTGTTCCTGGAAAGAGTAGGGTGAGATGGTGCTGTGACGTCAGTATATTGAGACTGAGGATGTGACCAAATTATGACTCAATATATGGAATTATTTGCCCAGACAAGTGGTAATGTCTAGCAAAAAACACTTGTTAATCACGGTTGCAAAGTCATGGTTTAAATCTGAAGTATAACTTCCTTACAAGTCGTAGGATTGCCTGAAACTGGTGATGGATATCAGCTGGATTTATAAAATATTAACATCCTCTTTCTTGCATGGTTAGTTGTGTGTGTATGTGGGTTACTATTAGATTAGGAGGCTTATGGAAGCATGGACTCCTATGTCTGTAAGCATTTAATGCGAGAAACAGTAAGAAAGCAGTGGCAGAACTCTTGAAGGGCACGATGTTTTTGTAATAAAATGCAAAACAAACTGAAAAAAAGGGTCTTTGTCACATTTCTGAAAGTGGTTTTAAAATGCCCTTAAAATGAAAGTAGACCTACTTCCTTATGGAAAATAGGCTGCCTGGATAATAGCTATAGAAACATGCAGTCTGCAATTCATCATTGATTACTTCTGATTTCCTCAGCGGTTCTCTGTGCAGGGAAGAGCTATTCCAATGTACCAGTCCCTTGTGTAGATCAGTTCAGCCACTGTTTCTTAACAGAGCTCACAAAATATTTAATTCTTCCTTCCAAGTGTGAAAATTTTACTTGTTTTGATAATCGCTAAACAATTAGGTGGTTACTTTGTTTAAAATAAAAGTTCAGGTTGGTTTATGTCAGTCTTTGTTTCCTTGGACATGCTTTCAAAATTACTGTGCTTTATCTATACAGATGAAATTTACAGAAAGTGACTATTTCGGCAATGTGTTGCAAACTCGCAAATACGCAGCACAATCTGATTTCTACTGGCTTAGAAAAGAAGTCCCAAAAACAGAGTGAGTAGACAAAAGGCAAATTTGCATACTCTTTGACCAATATTTTAATTTATATTATTTAATTTATTAAATACATGTTTTAATACAATTATATACATAGCAATATGTTATGATACAAAATGGAGCACCTCTCCTATGACGAAAGGCTGCGAGAACTGGGCTTGTTCAGCCTGGAGAAGAGGAGGCTCCGAGGAGACCTCATTGCAGCGTTCCAGTATCTGAAGGGGGCCTACAAGGGTACTGGGAGAGGACTTTTTACAAGAGCCTGTAGTGATAGGACAAGGGGTAATGGGTATAAATTGAAATCAGGGAGGTTTAGATTAGATGTCAGGAAGAAATTCTTCCCAGAGAGGGGGGTGAGGCACTGGAACAGGTTGCCCAGAGATGTTGTGGATGCCCCATCTCTGGCTGTCTTCAAGGCCCGACTGGATGTGGCTTTGAGCAACCTGGTCTAGTGCAAGGGGTCCCTGCCCGTGGCAGGGGGGGTGGAACTAGATGATCTTTAAGGTCCCTTCCAACCCTAACCATTCTATGATTCTATGATTCTATGGGCAAACCACCCAGTTATTGAGAAACTCCTGTGGATATTTTTTTTTATATATAAGTTCTAGGTATCCCTGTACACAGTAGTTATATGCTTGCAGTTTAAACTTGATTTAATGAAAAAGAGGGGTAATTGAATCTCAATTAAAAATGGATTATGTCTCGGTCACAGTTAGAATTTGGAATGGTACAGCAGGGATTTATGAAATAAATTTTCTAAGAATGGAACCATTAGTAAGAGATAATATTATTATTAGTAATAGCAATCATCATTGTTAGCTACCTGCTGTTGATGGCAATGATACGGAATAAAACATAATTTAATTTACATATGTTATTTTTATTTATTTGAAAATATGGGAGTGCAGATTGTGTCATGTACTGCCATCAAATACATCAGAGCATCAGTCTCTTTTCTTACTGGTGGGTAATCAAATCCTTAAATACAAATTAAAACCTAAACAGAAGTTAATTAGTCTAATCATGCTACTTAAAAATTACTTCTTTGAAATTGGTGCTGCTGCTTAGCTCCTGTGGTGGTATTTCCTTAGGGCTCCTGAAATTCCTACCCAAACTGAACTACCTTGTTTTGTGCATGTCTCTGTGTTGTCTGTGAGGCCGGTAGAGGATGTCAGCAGGACAGGCATGGGCTGTTTCTGGTTAGGGTTTTGTGATTTGACCCCTTATTTTCAAAGGGTTGTTTATAGCTTAATTGTAATTGTGAATTTTACCTTCTTGTCACACCTTTCTCTGACACTGCCATGGTTAAGTCCCAGCAGATGATTTTATGGGCTTTCCTGCAGCCCTGGATGCCAGGGCTGGATCATGACAGTATATTGTCTCCATACCAGCAGTTCCTGTGAGGGCAGTGAAATAACACTGTCCACTCTATAGCAATGGCAATCAACAACCTCATGAACAGCTTTGGGGCAGCACTGATGCAGACCACGTAGATTCTTGGCAGGGTGGGAAATCCACCCTTTAAAGAAATTAATCAGCAGGTAATCCCTGATGCTACACCTTGAGGGCTGTAATCTGAGAAATGTCACATTGGTACGCTTAAAAAATGAAGATTTTACCCGAATGTCCACTACAAGATTGAACACTTTCTCATGCTTGTCTTTACCATCTTATTTCAAGGACTACTTACAGCAGCACTCTCATCACCTTTGTCTTGTTTTTCTTGTCATCCCACAGGGCACATTCTGACCTGGGGCTCCCCAGTTTGATTTTTGGTCTCTCTCTTTTGTCAGAGAAGCTATATGCTCTGCACTCTGCCAGGCTGGGGGTAACCTCCACCTGAGCCCTCAG